CCCCAAAACCCCAAAACCCCAAAACCCCATTTTTGCACAAAATAATTGAATTATCAGAGCACTAGAAAGGCTTACTGGTGATTCTCTTCTTGCCTATCTGAGGCTTGGATATAACCTTTTTCAAGTTTTTCCTCTTATCTTCTTCCCCAGAACTAACATGAGGGGTGCCTAGATCAACTGGTTTCTCAAAAGACTTCTTTTTCTTAAAAATAGGCACCTCGTCATCCTTCTTCACTGGAATTGATGGGGTGTCTTTCAATTTAGATACTTTCTTTGGAGTCTTAGGGTTCTTCTGCATAGTAATATCACCTTGGCTATAAAAATCATCTTCATCTTCTTTGTCAGCACTGTTCTGATCCCGTGCCTCTCTAAGTCTCTTCACGTATATCTTAGCAAGCAAAATTCTTCCCCATTTCTGGATGAGTATAGCTGCTTGGGTCTCTTTCTCGTTCTGCTCCTGAATAGCTCTTTCTACTGCATCATAGCCATTCGAGTTCTTTCCGTTTTCCATAAACTTGTTGTGGTCCTTCTTCTTTGCCTTCTGCAGCTCCTGATTCTTTTTCATGAGCTCCGCAATTTCAGCATTCTTCTCTTTGACTTGGTCAGTCTTAGCTTGAAGCTCTTTATCGAATTCTTCCTTCTGCTTCTCAAGTTCTCTGAGCTTGGCTTTATTAGACTTGGACATGTTCTTGAGCTTCTTCTTCATCACCTTGCTGGCATGCTCAGCAATGCCAAGATGTTTCTCGTAGGTGTCCCTCTTGTTCTGGAGTTGAGCGTTCATTTCTCGTTTGGCTTCATCGACCGTTGTGTCGAAATTGATTCCAAGAGAAGAGCCTTCTGCACGCAATTTCTCCTCTTTTTCCTTAAGCTCTTGTTCTCTTTCCTCAATATTCTGAAGCAGGTCGTCCAGCTCAGCACTTTGTTTCTCTTCTTCAAGGAGTTGGTCCTTATTAATAGTGACTTTATTTTGAAGTTCTTTGATCTGAAACATGGAATCAGGAGCACCCTGAGCAAGGAGCTTCTCAGTTTCCAGCTCCCGACGTTTTTGCTCGGTATGGAGCTCCTTGGACTCCTTCTCAGCCTCCTTCATTTGCTGTTTGACACTAGAAAGATCTGAATGCAAGCTGGAATAATAGCTCGGGTCTTTAACAGTCTCCATTCTTTGGGACAAATGTTCGTGCTCAGCCATTATGTTTTCAAGCGCCTTCTGTGAATTCTCAACCTCTTTCGTCCTGTACCGCATCTGAGCACTTTTAGGAGGTGATTTTATCCTTCCAGTTTGAGGGTAGTGCTTTATATTCATTTGCTTCTCAAAAAGCTGGTTCACAGCAGAGTTCATTGCAACCATGGTATCCTGGAGATACTTGTTCTCTTGCTTAGCAGCTTCAAGCTTGGCTCCGGTCTCTCCTTGAGACTCTTGCTGCTTGATAAATTCTTCCATTTTAGTTTGTGCTTCTTCCATTAATTTCTCAAGCTGCTCGACCATTGTCCCTTTCGAAGGCTTAAGAGCTTGCTGGGCTTTCTTGGTCAGGCCGAAATTATGCAATTTATTTGTGAGTTTTACCATTAGTTTCAGCCAAAAGTCCCTTCTTGGTCCCTTTAGCATCTTTGCTAAGATTAGGAGTTGAGCTGTGAATACCTCCATGTTTGGAAAGCCCTTTAGGAGCTTGCTCTAAAACAGATCAGAACAGGCCTTACTCTTCACAGTAAAAGGAGCTTTAGGCCCTTTCACACCAAATGGTTTATGGTCTCTTGGCTTGATCCCCAATGTCTTATCCCTAGCGAAGGTGTTGTCATAACTGGATTCTTTCTTGCCTATAGAGCGCAGTTTAGCCTATGGGAACCTACCTTTAGCAGCCTTTCCAGTTGTTTTCTTGGCTGTTTGGTCCTTGAAGGTATCATTGTACTCTTCAAAGTCGTCATCATAATCACTCATACTGGCTTATACAATTATTATAAGACTTTCTGTTTTAGGTAAATAAAAAGGGGTTTTGGGGTTTTGGGGTTTTGGGGTTTTGGGG